CCGTTTTTAAAAATCTAAACTGTACATCCCGTGTGTGTGTGTGTGTGTGTGTGTGTGTGTGTGTGTGTTCACAGGCACGAACGCGTCGGCCTTCGATCAGCTGGTCCTGACGCTGGCGTGGGATCGAGTGGACATCGCTAAAGATCACGTGTTTGTTTACGGACAACAGCTGCTGGTTCGTACCTGTGTGTGTGTTTGTGTGCCGATAAACACTGAGAGAAACAGTTGTCTAGTGTACACACACACACACGCTGTGACCTACTGACCTCTGACCTCTCAGCACATTCTGATACACTAACAAGAACAATGTTACTTTCACATGTATCATGTTAGTACTGTCGTATTCTGTAAACTGTAAAGTAACAAACATCAAGGAAATGTGACAATTTTATATGTATATATATATATATATCATCATTGCACAGTATTAGATTAATATAATATAATTGGTAACACTTTATTTTAAGATGACACACTTAAGATGTTACATGTACTTACTTTAGTAATGAGAGTGAATTATGCATAATTAAAAGTAACCCTATAGTAGGCTCATGTAGTTAATTAATATTACTCCGTACTTATTTGTGTAATTATGCTAACAACATCACTTTAGTGTATAGTGTAATAGTGTTACTATATAGTTTATATGAGTTGGCTGGTTCCAAAAATTAAACTAAAGACAACCAACAAAAGTGAAGCAAAAGAGACTCAGTTCAGTTTAGTTCACCCAGAAATCATTTACTCTCCCTCATGTTGTTCCAAACTTGTATGACTGACTTTCTTCTGTGAAACACAAAAGTAGATATTTTGAAGAATGTTGGGAAACAAACAGCATTGGACACTAACTGTATGGACAAAAGGACAGACATTCTTCAAAATATCCACTTTTGTTGATTTTTGGGTGAACTGTGTCTTTAAGTTTACGTGCAATGTCAATGAAAGTTCTGGGCTCTGAGTTTAACACTCAGTGTCAAAGTCATGTGAATGTATTAAAGACATTGGTGTGTGTGTGTGTGTGTGTGTGTGTGTAGGTGGGTTCCCTCGAGCAGGCGATGTTGGATGCGTTGGTGATGGACCGCGTGGAGTTCGTTAAGCTCCTGATCGAGAATGGCGTCAGCATGCACCGCTTCCTCACAATCACACGTCTGGAGGAGCTGTACAACACGGTACACATACACACACACACACACACACACACACACACTCTCTCTCTCTCACACATATACGCTCTCTCACACACACACACACACACACTTATACACTCTGTCACACACACACACACACACACACTTATACACTCTGTCACACACACACACACACACATACACACTTATACACTCACACACACACACGTGCTGCTCCTCTTATGCTAAGTCTAAACTGACCTTGATTGTAAATCGGAACATTTCTATTCTCACAGAAACAAACTCCAACCAATCCGACGCTCTATCACTTGGTGAGGGACGTCAAACAGGTAAAGCTGTTCAGCTGATGCACGTGTGTCTGACGCCAAACTGCAGTCGTCTGAGATTTCTTTCCTTGTGTTTTTTTGCTAGGGTAACCTCCCGCCCAACTATAAGATCACGCTGATCGACGTGGGGCTGGTGATCGAGTATCTGATGGGAGGAACGTACAGGTGCAACTACACGCGCAAACGCTTCCGCATCATCTACAACAACCTGCACGGGAACAGCCGGGTAAACCAGCGCTAACAGTGTTTATATCAGCCGAAATATGTACTAAAACTAAAATATTTACTTGAAGATTTTGAGTTTTTAAGTTAATATTTCAATCATTTAACAACACATTTGCATGTTCACGGTTCTCTGGTGCCAGTTAATGGTCACATGACATGCAGATAAAAAACAAATGACATATTTTTTACTTTTTCTTTAATATTTTAATATCTTTTCAGACAAAAATCTATTTCTGCATTTTAATTTTCATTATTATTATTGTTTAATTATTAGTCACATCAGAATGAAAGATCTAATGCTTTGTCTCTCTGTGTCTGTCTGTCTGTCCATCCATCTGTCTGTTGTTCTGTCTGTCTGTTGTTCTGTCTATCTGTCTGTCCGTCTGTTCTGTCCATCTATCTGTCTGTTGTTCTGTCTGTATGTCTGTCTGTTGTTCTGTCTGTGTGTCTGTCTGTTGTTCTGTCTATCTGTCTGTCCGTCTGTTGTTCTGTCTGTTGTTCTGTCCATCTGTCCGTTGTTCTGTCCATCTGTCCGTTGTTCTGTCCATCTGTCCGTTGTTCTGTCCATCTGTCCGTTGTTCTGTCCATCTGTCCGTTGTTCTGTCCATCTGTCCGTTGTTCTGTCTGTCTGTCCGTCTGTTGTTCTGTCT